ACCGTCGTCCATATTTGTCAATGACCCAATATACAGGCAGAGTGAATACTGCATTAGTGAATCCGGCAATCAAACTAGCCAATACAGCCTTCTTGTCGGATATCCCAATCAAATCTGTAAACATATAGTCGACATAATACATAAAAACATTCATTCCACAGAACTGTTGAAATAGCATTAATAGTATTCCAACAAATAGTTCTCTTCTTAGAGAAGGCACTGTAAGTAACTCTGCGTACAGATTCTTGTTTTCTGTCATTCTTCGTTCCTCCTCTACTGCCTTTCTAATGAGTACTAAATCTCTCAAAGCATGTTCTGAAGAAAGCCTAATAGCCAATAAAACCTTTTCTGCTTGCTCTATTCTTCCTTTCTTGATAAGCCACCTTGGACTTTCTACTTGAAATGGAACTGCAAATGATTCAATCAAGGCAGGTACCATAGTGGAACCCAACATCAATCTCCAGCCGATATCATCTATGTTCACAAATATCACATCGACAATGTAACCTATAAAGATTCCAGTTGCAACCATTTGTTGATATAAACTTGCAATCGCTCCTCTTATTGCAGTTGGCACAGCCTCAGATAATAAAACAGGCACTGTACTCGAAATAATTCCCATTGAAACTCCCAACATGAGTCTGCCAGCAAGTAACATTTTCCAAGAAGGAGCAAGAGCTTCCCATATGGAGGCTCCAATAGACCAAATAGAAGCAATAAATAGGCTGCCGCGTCGACCGATCCAATCATTCAATAGAATGGATAACATCGAACCAACTAGAGCACCTAAGGTAGTTCCTGCAGCCAGAAGACCAGTGATATTGGTGTTGGTCACATTGAATTGTTTTAAGTATTCAATTTGGGCTCCGCTAACTAATGAAATGTCGATTCCAACAATCAATGCTCCCATGGCAGCAACTGCTACTAGATAGTATAGTTTGAGAGGCTGTCTCCAGGGATGTTGCTTCTCCTCTTCCGTAAGAAACTCGTCTTGTAAAGGATTGGCATCCTTCAAGAGTTCCTCGAAATCTTCAAGTGTCTTTTCCTTGGGTCCTTGAAAGTAAGAGTCAGAGTATGTTTTTTTCTTTGGAGTTGCATCCTCTGAAAAACTCAGCACCTCAATCCTATCTTGTGAATGATGAAGCCTTTCAGCCTTTCTTGTTGGAGACTTTACGATGTCTGTAGACATTCCAGCAAATTGAAGAAAATGGAGATTGCAGCAAGAGTGTGGGATAGAATGAAACAAAAAATTTAGCAAATGATTGGGCTCGAGATTGTAATGTTCTAGAAGGAGATTTGGGTTGGAAGCAGTTGCATCTATCTCGGGATTTTGAACATGATAGAAGCCTTTGACGTTGATATTCTGGCAATAGAACGCTTGTTGTGCAAGGTAGATGTAGATAAGAAAACAGCTAGAGAAGAAGCAACAGTCAAGTGTTTTTCTAGCTAATAATGGTATATGCAAAGATACTTCTTGGCTTAGAAAGCCTTTTGAATTTTTGAACCCAGAAAGATGAATGTTTTGGTCTTATTGTTCACTCTTGAATGTCATATAAAGCAACTTTTTCAGTATAGATGAACTCTAGAGAACGTTTGCATTAATAGTAACACTGTTCAATTTTTCAATAGCCGATTTCAAACGACGCTGTTCATTAAACAAAGGTATTCCTGATACTTCTCGCCAGGGTTTACATTTGACCTGAAGGACAATTCGTCGAACATTTGCAGTGAATAAAGTATGTCGAAAGCTGAGTTCTTCAAAGGATGAATATGCCTTTCTCACTCTCTATTCCAAGTCAACAGTTAGCCTTACAGTTGTTTTAACTATGGGTTCTGTGCTCAAAGAAAGGGTTTTAAAATTATATAGCTTCAAGTAGTATGTCAAAAGAATAAAATGACTCTGTGGTTATAAAATAATGTTAGAAACTAAGCACATTGTATATTGTGATTGATAGCAATTTTCAAAATGAACTTTAAGGGGTTTTTGACTGTGAAACTTTTGTATCTTCAGCCTTTGAAATTTACTCAAGAGACACATGCAACGACTTTTGGCCCATTCGCCCACAGTTGAATTGCGAGAGACATTTGCTTTGGATGACCACAACTGAAGCATCTTTTCACGAAGGTATGGGATATACCAGATAGAAAGAAATATGAACTAAGAAAGAGTAGCACAAGAAGATAAAAACAGAGGAAACGAACATTTTCGTAGGTTTTCTATCGTTTTACTCCTCTCAAGGTATTTAGTTACTGCTCCCCAAATAGGCAACAAACAGTACGAGGAAGCTTGTGAATGTTATACGTTGGCGCTAAGGTAGGTATTTTACCCATTTTTCAAATAAAATGTCAATTGACAACAAAGAGACAGTAAGCCATTGAATGATGCAGATCGTGCAGCTTGTTTTGCCAATAGAGCTGCAGCAAAACTAAAGTTAGAGGATTATGAGGGTTGTCTTTTGTTGCTTAACGCACTGCAAATGTTGAAGTGAGTTGTCGATAGGAGCGTTGGAGGATTGTTCAGAAGCCTTGAATTTGGACGAAAACTACTGGAAAGCGTTGTATCGAAGGGAACAGGTGAATATCGCTTGCTTTCCACAGAGTTAGAAGTTAACTGGTGTCCAAGTGCTATTTGAAGTTGGGTCGTTATGAGGAAGCATTGAAAGATGCAAAGACCTTGGTAAGACCTTTTACTCTTTTTCCAGTTTTCGTAAGAACGGTGACCTACATTATGTGCAGAAAGAAGCACGACAGATCTCATCTGAAGAAGTACAACATATAGAACAGTTGAAAGTATGTGTGGGTTGGATAACTTGTTGAATTTGATGGTAATGAATACTATAGGAACGTGAAGAGGAACGTCGTAAAGAAGAAGCTATTACCAAATTAAAGGTAGTTTATTTAGTGCTATTTGTCAAGAGATTGAAGCAACTTGCATAGGAAGTTGGGAATAGCGTATTGGGCTATTTTGGTCTTAGTGTTGACAACTTCAAGTTAGATAAGGTATATCAAAGTTTTGGACTGTAGAAGATGGTAATGAAGACTTTGTAAGGATCCTACGACAGGTTCGTACAATATAAGACTGGAAAAGTAAAATTTTTTTACATCTATATTATAAATATACAAAACTCTGCGTGACGACTACTTCATTGATCATACATTGAAACTTTCTCCGCAACCACAAGTATTCTATCAAACATTGGTTATACTCAAACATATCCGCTCGTCCAACGCAAAACATACCTTTGCGTTTGGGTTGTAAAATACAAACTCAGATGCAAGTTCGGAGTCCACAAAGTCCATAGTTGTACCTACTACCTGCATCAAAGCTCTTGGGTCCACAAACAACTTAACTCCTTTATCTAGTACAATTTCGTCGTGTTTGTTCCTTAAACAACTTCAGTACTAGCTAGAAGAATTGAAACTAAGTACTTACTCCTTTCCCTTTTCTACATAGTTCATTACAAAGGACTTGCCATTACAACCCCTATTTCTGAGACTAATTCTTACTCCTGTAAACAATTGTAACGATAAGAATTTTGAGAAAACCAACCAACAAATGTATACTACCTTCGATTGTTTCACCCTTGGCTTGTAAGAGTTCGCGCACTCTTCTTGCAGCCTCTTCTGTCTAAATATCTACTCTCAGTGTCGCTCGACAAACTACTCTGCTTTACACTTACCAATTCCAGTGCAGCCTTTTTATTTCTTCGAAGTAAAGAACCACCAGCAGCAACAACGCGACCTGAAGGTGCCATAGCGAAGCCAAAAAAGCTGAGAAGATGTAATTTCGTTACTTTGATGAGGAATTGTTCGTTTACTTTTGAACCTTGCAATATTGCCTTGGTTTTGAAACGAATATGTTTCTATTGCGTTGTATATTTAACTTGTTTCTAATCAAAGTTTGTTTTACAAAGAAACGTTTCCCTAACGACTTGCGCATCTTTTGAGCAGAGGCAGCTTACCCCCAGCTTCTCTTTCAGTATGGCTATTTTGAACACCTACACTTCTTTTTAATATAAGTGCATGATTCTTTCCAACTGTTGTTCGTCACTCCTTTTACAGTTCCTCTCGAGTTACAAAAGTTTGTTTCCGTGTCACAGCGGAGAAGTTGTTTCAATTTCACTCACAGAAACGGTAAAATGAAGCATTCATAAGAAAACTGTAAAAGGTGCCTAAAACTGATCTTTAATATTTTGGATAATGTAGTTATCTAACTCCATAAGGCAACGTCAACTAGTCCTTTCTCTTTCCCACCTTACAACTCCCTTTTCCGAAACAACGTGCGGAAGTAAAGGATCACGAAGTTCCAATCTTATACCACGTGGAACAATACAATCTACTTCCATCTTTCCACAACCTACAAAACTTATCCAGCCCAAACCTGCAATGGCTATATCTCCAGCACTTTCCTTCCAACCCTTTCCTTGTATGGAAAATCTGTTAGTCTCCCATTGTATTGCCATTTGATGAATCCAATTCTTATCCAATGGCGGTTTCAATAACTGTGACATATGAGATGATAAAAATTGTTCAGCTTCTCTACAAGAACTTATATGAATAGAAACTTCGGAACTTGCATACACAACAACATGGAAAGGCTTTCCTTCGACAAAGTGAATGCGTGCCAAGCCACCCAAAAATAAATGTTGCCCTTCCTGAAAACGAAAGCAAATAGGTTTGATACTCTTTTGAGGTATTACCAATTTGAGTTCTTCCGTACTTAGCAAATGGCTCAAATGATTGTTTAAAAATAAGCCAGGTGTATCGTATATCTTGTATCCTTTGCCTATCTTTACTGGAAACACTTCCAACGTTGTTCCTGGAACCACACTTGTGGTAATGGGCACTTCTTCCGCACTCTTTTCGATATCCTTCAACTGACTTTCAGTTAATGTCTTCGGCGCCTTTTTCATTTTATGATTCAATTCTCGTCGACTTCGATACTTTACTTCATCTCGAAATGAGAGTTTTAGTTGATTTAGAATACTGCTTTTCCCAACATTAGCTACTCCAACCACGAATACTCTCTTTCCACGAGGAATATGTAGTAACTCTCTTCGGAGAGACTGAATTCCTCTTCCAGTCTTGCACGAGACAAAACGAACGCTTTGAATATTCTCTAAACCTTTACGTTGCATTGTATCCTTAATATATGGAACAAGCTTTTGACAATCTACTGAAGGTAATAAGTCTATCTTGTTCACACAGATTATAAGGTCGGCATTGGCAAGACAATTCTGAATACCAGAAAATAAACTGCCACATAAATCAAATATGTCCAATACAAGTAGGATAAGAAACTTCTCTTTAGATAAGGAAGAAAACAGAGTTTTAAGCTTTTGAACTATTCCCGCAGTACCAGTTACCGCTTCCACTAATTCCTCCATAGTTGCGGCGGGTAATCTTAGCTTCTCATCCAATTTACCATAATGAATAAGTTGAAAACAACGTTTACAAAGTGCAGTTCGTGCTTTGGACTCTACAATTTCTGGAACATAACCAAAGGAGTCTTTGTCTGTTGTCTGTAGTAAACACCCACAACCAGGACAACGAGACCCGTGTTGTACTTTCTTTTTGAACGAAAAAGAACCCCTAAGAGTTTCACTTGAGCTATCCACCATATCAGCTAGTGCTAAAGCTTTTTCAATTCGATCAACTTGTTCTCTCATGATACAAGAAAAGACAACATTGTGTGGTTTCTATTCCATTCGATGAGAAAGTACACAAGAAACAAAAGAACAACTACCATTCTTTGATAATTATGCAGATTTATCTGTCGCCATTTGTAGTTCTTTATTCCAGAGGATATCCAACCTTTGGAGAATTCCACTCGAAGATCGACAAACATCTTTATCCTTCCGTTTGACAATTTGCAATTCTCTTCATGTCCAGTTATGGGACGGTGTTATTTCTTAAAACGATTGCTCCGTTATGTGGAGTTATCATATCCAACTTGTTATTTTTAGCTCCTATGAAAAGTGTCTTAGAAGTTAGAAATAATGAGGATATAGGCCCTTTGAACCCAGTCCCTTATTGCTTTATTTTCGGTAGCACTAGTGGCTGGTTACTTTATGGGGCGTCTGTGAAGAACTTTTATATATGGTGGGCCAATTGTCCTGGTCTCCTTTTGGCTATTTTTTATATTCTAAGTTGTCACGCAGTTTTGGAAAAGGGTAAAAGGCGTTTTTTGTATGAAGCTTTGACTCTTTCGGTGCTCGGACTCACGATAATCTGTGCCTTTTTATCCGCCTTTATATTACCTAAAAATATTGCAAACATAACTTTGGGTGTTTTGGCAAATACTATGTTAACTTGTTTTTACGCTTCTCCTTTGTCAACGTTAATTGCGGTTGTAAGATTGAAGGATGCTTCTTCTTTGGACCCGTGGTTATGTGCAATGAATACTGTCAATGGAACGATGTGGACTGTTTACGGGTTTGCTCTTGGGGATCCAATCGTTTGGTCGTTAAATCTGTTAGGTGCCATATTGGGTGTGTCACAGTTATCTCTCATTTGTATTTATGGACGAAGGAACGCAACTATATCACCAACTTTGACAACTCCACAAGATATAGAAGAAAAGGTGACTGAAGGGGCTTCTTATTCACAAAAGCCAGAAACAACAAACTACGGAACAGGTAACAAAGTAGACGTTTCTGGCGAAGCACTTTGACGCTTCTATATTGTAAGAAACGAACAAATGGTCTCTTTTGGTTTCCAGTAGGTCGTACAAAAAAGGACTGTAGTGGAAATTGAATCTTGTCTATGATTCTACGACTTTCTATACATCTCTTCTTAATTTTGTGACTTTTTGTAAAACAGCTGCCACCAGTTCACTGTCTGATTGAATCCGGTGTAGACTATTTT